TATTTTTGAAAGTCGGGCTAAGACGGGCGCAGTGCCTGGGCACAGGATCAGGATTAGTGAGGTAAGGTCTGCAGCATGGGTGATGCTCCCTGGGGCTGCCGAGAGGTGAGACCTGTGCATCACCATCATCATCATCACCATCATCATCATCACCATCATCATCATCATCACCATCATCATCATCAGCAGCAGCAGCAGCAGCACGATGGGAAGGTGCAGATGAGTGGAAATCAGTTCTATTACTCATTTCTTTCAAAATAGACAAATTCTATAAAAGTTAAAGCCCTTTCCTTTCCCCGCAAATCAAATTCCGGTTTGCTCTCTTTGTCAAGTATTAATATTCTATGACCGTCTGGTTATTTTTGGTTGGGCACCTAAGGCATCCAAATGACTTAGGGTTTCTCTGCTTCTAGATTCCCCAGTAGGACAATCTCAGAGTTCTTAACACCACTGCCCCTCCCCCAGCCCTTCCACACACAATACACCATATTGTAACATGAATCTTAAAAGGCCTTATTAACAGAAAACCCAGAGCCGGATATTGGGGTGAAAGCTGAAAGATCAGAGAAGCAGAACAGGATTTACCTCTCCGAAATCCTCAGCCCCGAGAGAGGGAGTTCCTGTTTCCTCATGCTTTATATACCTTTCTGTGTCCTGTCATCTTACTTCTGGGGATTAAAGATGTGTGTCACCACTGCCTGGTTCTGCTTCTCTCAGGTAGCCCAGTGTGGCCTTGAACTCACAGAGATCCAGACGGAGTGCTAGGATTAAAGGTGTGCGCCACCACGGCCTGACCTCTGTGTCTAACTTAGTGGCTGGCTCTGTCCTCCGATCCCCAGGTAAGCGTTATTGGGGTGCACAGCGTATCACCACATCACATGGTTTCCTTTAATAGTATTTAAAATTGTGATGTAAATGACACTGTGAGCTCAGCAAAGGTACATCTAAGAGCTGGGCCTATGGCACAGGCCTCTAATCCCAGCTACAGCCGTGGGACGCTGATGCAGGAGGATTAGAAGTTTAAGGCCTGCCTACTTACCTTAGTAAGATTCTATCTCAAAGCAAAACTATGCACTAGGAAGCTGAGACAGAAAGATTACTCTGAGTTGTAGGCCAGCCTGGGCTAATGAGTGAGACGCTGTCTCCCAAAACAAACCAAAAAAGTGCAGTGTTTGCATGTAACCTCTTTATATCCTCTTGCAGAGCTCGGATCACCTCTAGGTGATTTATAAAACATACTACAGGTCACTGCTCACAGCGACTGCACTGCATTGCTTAGGGAGCAAGGGCCGTGGCAAGTGTCTCCATGTGCTCAATGCAGACACCGTTTTTTCCTGAACAATATATTTTGATCATTTTCTTTCCCCTCCTCAACTCCTCAGATCCTCCCCACCTCCCTACCCACCCAACTTCATGTTCTTTATCTCTCCTTAAACCCCCCAAAACAAAAACCAAAACACAAAAATCAAAACAAAACTCTAGTTGTCTAGTTGGGGCATTGTCTCCCTCATTATATGTGGACTTCATTTCAATTCCTTTCGTATAGCATATATTTTAGGAAGCGTCTGGAGTAGTAGGTTTCTACATGGGTTTTCAAATGGCCGTTAGTGCTGTTTTCCCTCCCCATGTCCTTCTCTCCCACCCTCTTCCTATCTAATCCTCCAGTCCAGTCTCCCCCTCATCTCTTTATAATGCCAGATTCTATTTCTCCTTCCCTGGAATACCCCCTTTCCCTCAAGTTCTCACCAGCTCCTTAACCTCCTCTGTGGTTATTCGGATTGAAACACACATCTTTAAGTCTTGAAAGAAACAGTTTAATTTTCAATCTTTTCCACCCACGGGGAGTTGAACCCTCACTTGGCGTGAGGTGGATCCACATCCCTTGGGTGCGGAGCAGTCTATGCAGGTGAAATGGACTGGTGGCTGGAAAGGGTTCTCACTTCGAAGGGACCGTCGACCCGACAACCCTCCACAGTCAGATGTACCAGTCACGACTCAGTTATGGCTCACAGAGAGGGTAGGCTGGCTCATTTCACTCGGATCACTGCCAGAGCTGAAGTTACATTTTAAGTTTTAATCACTATGCCGAAGAGATCCATGAAACAAAACTGTCTCTGATCTGCAAGTCTCTTGCTCAAGATCCTGAAGTGCTGGAGGCTGTTGTTTATGGGAGATAACAAGCCACAAGTTTTCACTCCCCTAAACAAGTTTGTTTGACCTATCCATGCCGGATGTGCTTGGTCACACGTGGGTGCGGTTTCACAGGTAGGAAACACACCAGGATATACGCTTGCCCCTGACTAGATGTCGGCTGGAGTTACGTCAGAATGAATGCTTGTCCCTGATTGGACCTGATGGGAAATGCAGTGAATTATGAGTTTTCCTTCTTAAGCTGCTGCAAACCAAGACTCAGGGTCATTTTCCCAGGAACCTGAGTGTGGACCTGGCCAGAGCCCAGTATTTAATGAAAGCTTCCTTCAAATTTGGCTTAAAACTCTGGTAGTGGTCTTATTCTTGGTCGGTGGGATTAACACCACCTTCAGCCCAAGATGGTTCTTCTTCCTCTTATTCTTTTTTAACTTAAAAAATATCTCAAGAATTACCCAGTGTATTCTAGAACATTTCCTACCAAATCCCATAGAGCTATCACAGTGCACATATGGCCTGTTTCCTATGATATAATCAAAGGGAGCTTAATTAACTGTGTTGCAAGAACATAACCAAATATGCCAGTTTCTGAAGTGGAGCCTGATGGCAAACACATGTAATTCTAGCTATTTGGGAGGCTGAGGCAGGAGGATGGGGGTGTAAGGCCTGTCTAGGCTACATAGCTTGGTCAAGACTGCACAATTTAGAGGCGTCGCAGAATAAAAACGATTCTACTGATGTACTCAGTGTAAGTGCTTGACCAGTTCACAAGACTCCAAGTTCAGTGTCCATTACCATTTGAAAAGAACGGGAGGCCAGAAGACGCCATCATTGCTAGTCAAGGGATTTTAGCATTTAATCTAAAATTTATTCCTGGGACACACCCACCTCCTGGCACCAAATTCAGATTCAGCAAAATTCTTCATTTTTTCCCCCCAATGTTTTATTTTTGTTGCATGCGGATTCTTTACGTGGCAAATATTAGAGCCACTGTCAGCCCTGCCTGTCACTCTACTGTCCCTTCTGTACCTACAATCTTATCCCAAGCCCTTCTCCCTCTGAGGTCTGACAGAGTCACAGCCTCTTCCCCGTCTCACACAGTGGGAAAGGGTGGGCTTGTTTGCAGGGGCTGGGTAGAAAGGCTGGTCGACAGCCTCTGGATTGCACACCCTGTTTATCTCGGCAAGGATCCTCTGGAGTCCCGGCCCTGCCTGGGCTCCCCAGGGAGGAGGGTGTGAACTCAAATGGAAATCTAGTTAGGCAGAGGAGGGCAAAGGTCAATAGACACTCTCAGCAGGCCACCAAAGGGGACTTCGCAGTGACCTTCGGGAAGGCCAAACTTGGGAAATTCTCCTTGGAGACTTTTCCTAGCACAGATGGGGTAGCAGGGGAAGTGGGGAGAGTGTTGATGAACCTCAGAGTAGGGTGACAGCTGGAAATGCGCCCCCATATCAGCCTGGATACACATTCAATGAAAGGGCTCCCCCATCCCCCAACAACATTTATTTAAAGAACATTGTCTTTTAAGTTTTGAAGCTGAAAACGTACATAAAAGATAATTTTAGTAACAATTCCCAATATTCATGGCTCAGTGTGGGATCTGAATATGTTAATAGGGGTGTAGTTGTCTGATATAATACGGTGTATTGAAAAATCATGTTCAGGAGTTGCCAGCTGTCTGCCTTTTCTCCAGGATTCCCTGAATAGGGCGCCTGCCTCACGCAGCAGGTAACGATGTCCTTGGCCCTTTAACAACTGTCTGTGGACCAGCATTCTCCTCTGGCTTTCAGATCCCTGCTCAGCAAGGCCAGTCATGGGGGGGGGGGCTGACAGCTGCTCATACAATTGATTAACACAGCCCAGGTTTTGAATGAGAGCACCAAGTCGGATGCAGTGTGGACCAGAGGTGAGCACTTCCTTTTGGTTTTCCTCACTGTCTCTGCAAAGCCCAGCACTTCTGATGCACAGTCAACCAAGACTCCATTAGTGTGTGTGTGTGTGTGTGTGTGTGTGTGTGTGTGTGTGTGTGGTGTCCTTTCTTCCTCCCTCCCGTCCCTGTCCTGTTCCCCCTTCCCTCCCCTCTTCTCTTTCTGAAACTTCCTACTTGGTCAAGTTTATTTGAATAATGTTCACGTCACTTCAAAAACATGAGCTTTTGTGATAATCTCCAAGACCCAAGAAAACCACACTTTCCCCCACAATCCATTATCTGGGGCCACAGCACTTTGTGGAGCTCCTCCGTGTGGTTAACTGTAACAGTTCCCATAACTACAGTAATTTGGGCCCCGGAACTGAAATGACTCATGCGTCTAGTCTCTTGCCCTCCTGCTCCATGGGCCCCAGCAATGGCCAACTGGGAAAGATGCTTGTGGACCATCTAATGTCTAACTGACTGTTTGTTGGTTACCCCTAGCAATGGCAAAACCTGGGGTGAAAGGGAAACTTCAACCCCCTTTCTGCTTCTGCCTATAAGCACCCCAGATGGTGAGCACACAGTGGGCTCTGAATTTTAGGGACCCCCCTCAGCAAGGTTTCCCCCAAATAAAGGCTAGGATTATCCTGTCAACTGCTCTCTAGTCTCTTTTCCCTTCTTGATGACCGTTCACAGCCTCTCTCTGTCTCTATCTCTGTCGTTGTCTCTGTCTCTGTCTCTCTGTTTCTCTATCTCTGTCATTGTGTGTGTGTGTGTGTGTGTGTGTGTGTGTGTGTGTGTGTGTGTGTGTGTGATGGTAGTGGTGGTGCTGGGGTTCAGACCTATGCCCTTGCCATGCCCAGCAGGCCCTTCTCCACTAAGCCGTATCCCAAGTCCCTCTTTTCCAAAAAAAACTTCTGGGCTTTGGTACCAAAACAAATTCAATGCTTAGTTTCCTTTATTGTTTTTTTTCATCCTACATAAGAGAAAAGGAAGAGGAGGTGATTTAATCTTTTGCAAGACCCAAAGCTTCCTGTGGTGAGATAACTGATCGAATAATTATTTGATTGAAAATCTGGACTGGCTAAACACCTGTTTCAGCTTTCCGTCTGATCCCTCTCCAAAGGACTTTGACAGTTGTCAGAATGCAGACTTTCAGAGTTCCTCTGCCAAGACAAATGGCGGCTTTCGTTGTTGGAAACTTGGTGCCGGGAAACAGCTGAATCAAGTAGAACCTTCTACACTTTGCAGGTGACAGATCTCATGTTCCAGTTCTGTCCGACCTCACATGCTGCCGAGAATGTGTGTCTTCAGGAAATACAAACTATAAACACACAAAAATTCTTCTTAAAATATTTTGACTCAAGTATTACTTAAATCAAGAATTTCTGGCATAATTGCACAACATACACTAAGATAATCCATCCTTTTGCATGAATCCATATATGACAAGAAACAGTGTCAAAAATTGTTGATGCTGTCTTCAACGCCCTCCTCATGTTAATTTTTTCCCCAGTGCTATAACAAAATACCTGATGCTGAGCATTTACCAATAAAAGAAGTTTGGGGCTGGAGATGGAGCTGTTGGCGGAGTGCTTGTCTGGCAAGCAAGAGGACAGCAGGGGATGGTGGTCACACTTGTATTCCCGTGACTCAGGAGGAAGAAGTGGGAGGTTCCAAAGCTCGAGTTCAAGGCTATTTATTCTCTGTTACAGAGAAGTTTGTAGTCAGCTTGAGATACCTAACACCTCTAAAAGCAAGAACAAAACAAAAGACAATAAGTTAAAAGAAGGAGGTTTGGGTAGATGGTACAGCTTGGTGGTAGAGTGTAGGGGTGTGGTGCCTGGGTTGGCTCCCCAGAAACACACACACGCATGCATGCACGCATGCACACACACAAGCACACACACATGCACGCGCACACACACACACACACATGCAAGCACACACACGTTTTGATTTGGTTCACAGCATATACATGGGCATCAGTGTGGCTCTGTTAGGAACTAATAGTGGATGGTATCAAGATGATAGGGGATCACTTGAGGGGAAGAGACCACACCACAGACCGGAAGCCATCCAGCTGCTGAGCAGCATGTCGATTCTTTATAACAAAATAGGATAAGAACTAACTGGGGTCCGTGAGAACAACTTCACTCCCTCGAAGGGAGATGCTTCCACAGCTCCCCTGGACTCTGTCTCATCCCTACACCTCTGCAGTGGGACCAAGCCTTTGTGAGACACTCTCAAACCCCACCATCACCCCTGTTCTCGTGTCCTCTCTGAGAAGACCATGAAGATGGTCAGATGCTGGGTCCTACCTACATGTGTGGAATCGTGACAACCTGACGCTAGTTCAATTGGGAGTTTTCAGCACAGCAGCTGTAGGGAACGGATGTGCATTCTTCCCTGGAAATGGCTTGGAATTGCCATCTCTCCATGGGCTGAGCATGAAATGGCCCTCCCTCACGGGGCTGGGAACTGCAGCAGTGAACCAAGACTCAGAAGTGAGCAAGCGAACAAGTGAGCGGTGCTGCTGAGCTGGGTGCTGCTGGGTTAAAGGGCATTTTCACTGTATTTACCTTACCGTGGTGGGTACAGAGGAGCATGGTGACCCCACCGTAAATGGAGGGGCGTGTGTGTATGTTAGTTAGCTAGGGATACTGACTATGCTTCATCGAATTTCTCTTGCTTGTTGTCCATACTCTAGCATGCCCCCTCCACACACACAGGACGTAAGGAAGAAGGCGCATTTGGGACGCAACAGCCTGGCAATGAGTCTCGTGGAAACAAGAGTTAGTCTGTGAATCTCAGTAATGCTGCTTTTCCAAGAAGGAAGTGAAACCAAAAGGTGAACGTCTCTCAGGTTATGAATGAAGGTGCTTATTAACGTATAATTGTGAGACATTTATTTGGAATGTGGAATTGTGTCTCCATCAAACAGTTACAAGCGATGGCTCACCAACCTCCCACATACAAATGAGTTAAGTTCGGAAGTCAGCAGGCTCAGGACATGTACACACTCCTGAGAGAAAAACCGGCCGTTTGAATGCTGGGGACAGGGAAGCCTACTGTGCCTCGGTAAAACTCTGCTTTGGGGGTAAGTTGTGTGCTTCCTTACCACAGCAGAAACGCCCGGTTACCTGACTCCAGGCCCTCAGCCTCACTTCTGAGCTATTTCAGATCTCAGTGAATAATGGGTAATTGTCAGTTTCCCGGGTTACCATACCACAGTGCCAGAAACGATGTTAGATCCCAGATACTACCCATCTCCCAGCTTCAGAGACCACGTGTGTTCCGAAGGCTGAAGGGAGGACCTCCTCGCTTCTCTGACTCCCAGCACACTCTTGCTGGAAAGCATCACGCTAGCCCTGGGCTGTGTTTGCAGGGCTGTGTTGGTGAGGGTGTCTGTTGCTGTGATAAATACCCTGGCCAAAAGCAACTTGGGGAGGAAAGGGTTTCTTTGAAAGCTTGTAGTCCCATGCAGGGAGGTCAGGGCAGGAATGCAAGGCAGGAACGTGGAGGCGGGAGCTGATGCACAGGTCATGGAGGAGTACCATTTACCAGCTCACTGGCTTGCTTCTCAAGGCTTGCTCAGTCTGCTTTTCGATACTACCCAGGACCACCTGCCCAGAGATGGCACTGCCCACAGTGAGCCGGGCCCACCCACATCCATCATTAACCAAGAGAACATCTTGCAGACTCGCCTACAGACAGATCTTATGGGGGTATTTTCTCAGGTGAGAGTCCCACTTCCCAAATGGCTCTAGCGTGTGTCAAGTTGACATAATGCTAAGCAGGGCCAGGACCTTCTCCAACATGTAAGCATCTGTGTGACGTCGTCCAAATGGTCCTCTTCTTGTGAAGACACCAGTAACGGCAGGTTTAGTGCCTGTCCTAGCCCAATCCGCCTCAACCTCAGTATAAAAAGGGATGTTACAGAAGGGGATGGAGCCAGGGCACTGTCACCTCAGGCAGGGAGGACAGGTGACTTTGCTACTTCATTTGTTTGTTTATTCTCTCTTTTCCTTTCCTTTCCTTTCCTTTCCTTTCCTTTCCTTTCCTTTCCTTTCCTTTCCTTTCCTTTCCTTTCCTTTCCTTTCCTCTCCT